TGATAAGTCATAAAAGAACAAACCAATCCTTAAATCATTTTTGTTGATTTTTAACAATATTTTTTACCTAAATTTTCTCTTGTTCATAAATTTAGTTCAAAGAAATATCCTTGAATAAGGTTTGGACTTCTATCCAATAATATAGGAGCTTGCTATGCTTTATTTGACTGAAGTATTCTTTAACATTCAACATAACATATATTTATTTAACCTTTAACACCCTGTAGATGACTATTTTTGCCAAGCAAAATGTTAGTCCTGCCAATGTTAAATTTGAATTTCTTGTTTGTGTACTCATATTCTTCTATCTAAAAACTATCTTGACTGAAATTGAGAGCCAGGCTACTGCAATTTCAAATATATAGAACTAATATAACACGCTATATTTTGATGGGATTCCATATAAAGGAAGTAATATTTATAAATGATGCAGAGTGCTAAATGTTAAAATGTTGCAATAAAAACTAACAAATGTGATGAATAATAAAAGACTTCAAAATTTGGCAGCTGATCTCAAAAATGACCTACAATCTGTTGTTAACTAGGTCAAGGAATGGCTTGCTAATTTTAACACCTCCAAAACAAAACTAGTCTCTTAATTGTCTGAGAGAACCCTTTTTACCTTCCAGGAGACTGACTCATTGTGCCTTCTCGAACTGACATTTTCCACTGACATAAAGGAAATTGAATCAATTGCTAGGTTTGCTGCTGGGAAAATTGGTTCACTGTGTTGTGCTAGACAATTTTTCTTGCCAAAATTTATCTTACATATTTATAAGTTTACTATTTGCCCTTGCTTTGAATATTGCTCCCACATCTGGTCTGGTGCTCCTGCAATATATTTAAAGATTCTTGATAAAATCCAAAGAAGAATCTGCAATGTTATTGGGGTCCTAACCTGGCATCTCAGCTTCAGTGAGTTCCCCACTATTGTAACATAGCTTCCCTGTGCCATTTCTATAAATACTTTCATGGTAATTGTTATGATGAACTCTCCACTATGGTACCTAGACATTATGAATTGAAGCACAGTACTAGATTGGCAGCATGGCCTCATCCTTTTACAGTCAACATGGCTAAATATAACTGTAAGTTTATACTAACAGTTTTTTACTTGCACTTTTTGCTTGTGGAATTCCCAGTGAAATTTGGTCTTCAGAAATTTAAATGCAATGTCAATTGTTATCTTTTGTCTTCTTAATTTTTGTTCTTTTATTGTTCTCTCTCCTTAGTAGTTTTCTTTTTTCTTTTATTCTCTAACACTCAGTAACCACTTGTGTTTTAGTGGCTTTACTGCTTTGGTTAAGGTGAAATTATTAAAAGATACATTTATAAAGTTACTAGTTTCAATGTGTGGAATAATGAAAAGGTTTCATCTCAAAACTTCAAATTATAGTTATGAAGATCATGTAAATATTTCTAGTTAAAGAACCAACATCTATGAATGAAGCTGAAATATATTGATAAGTAATTATAAAGCACTCTGTGTATAACTAACCACTTGAGACAAGGTTATTTTTGTGTGATGTCATACTGACAAAATATCTTGTCAGTTGGTCCACAACAATCATTACTTTTACTGTTTTCATCACCATGTACAAATTATCTTGAATCATAATATGATGAATTGCCAGTGTAAGAAGGCTGAAGACAAAGAAACTTATCATCGGATATCACTTCAGCTACTCCCAAATGGTTCCATTCCATGACATTTTTTGTTTATTAATCTCATCCTTGTTTTTATCACACTATTCCAGCTATGTCCTTTAGCCTTCTTCAATAGATGTTTCATCTGGTAATGTAGTAGTTTTAAAAAATTTCACTAACTTCAAAATTGGAAAAGTTCACAGGAAATTCTAAAAGCAAATTTCTAAAAAATAGCAAAACAGGAAAACAAGACTGATGCTAAAACATATGGAAAACTTTAATAGCAATTATACAATCTTTTGTAGAACTGGTTAACATCTAGGTATTTACTAAGCTTAACTTTGTTTGTCACAGGGTTACAAGAGTGAAACACACTAGTTGGGTTGAATTCACTATAGAAGCAAATAATGTAATGAGACTATCACTGTCATTCTATGTCAAGTATCTGTCTTCTACACTTGGTTTATGTCTACACAAGATCAAATCAGATTCATTCTTCATTGGTAAGAAGGAAATTCAACTCAGGCAGCTTCTTCCCAACAACAACTAATTTGTGGAACTGGCTTCACAATCACTACAATCAGTGCTGGATTTACCTATAAGTTTAGCAAGCTGAAGCCTAGAGCTTCAAAATCTAGGGGGCCTCCAGCCAGGGTGTATAATATTTTTGACACTGTCATAGGCCTTTCTTGCACATGCTATCATAATTCATTGTAGACTCTAAATAACCTTTCAGTAATTTTAAACACTCATCATCATCTTCTGTTTTACTCAAATTGTTTAACACTCTTCCATTTTCCTTTACTCATGAGAATGGGGGATTTGGAGGGACCTCACAAGTGGAATAGCATAGGGCCTATCTTCATCTAAATCTGACCCTGACTACAATCTTAATCTCTTCAAGTCTAGGGTCAGCTCTTATCTATCCTACATATCCACATAATCTGCATTTACGTCTTCCTCTTACATCCATACAACAACCTCTTGGGCTCTGTAGAGAGTAAATATTTAGTAAAAAAAAAATATGCAATTTTGTGCTTGTAGTATTTGTGAAGAAAAACTTTAAAATTCTGTATAAATTAAGATTTGGTGAAATGAACAAATAATACAGATTCAAATTATAGCAGACACATTTTTAGAACATGTTCTATTAATCAATTTTAGACAAAACAAAAACGTCTTTTTAAAGCATATCATTAATAAGATACAATATCCCTACTGAGAAGATACTAAAATAAATAAAATATAATTAACTTATAATTTACAGAGAAAAGTAAAATTTATACAGCATTTAAAATGGACCAAATTATTAATCAGCTTTCAACTTTTAGACATTTATAGTTATTAGAAATGTTATTGTCTTCAATTAACACACTTTCAAATAGAACTTAACATATTTATGTTAAATATTTGTATGGAGCCTGATGTCTACATTTTGGTGTGTATGTTTAGCATTAATAAGATACATTGTTTCACATAGTAAGTTTGAATAAAAGGTTGAAGTCAAATCATATAAAAAATCTTCCATTGCCTATTTCATGTCAAATGAAAACTTTGTCTTCAAAAGAAGAAACTTGATTCAAAACATTATTTGTAAAACACCTCAACCATTCTTCTTTTTCTTTGTAGAAATATTGAATATTTTGGTTTACATCTGCAATCTTGAGATAACACATACCTGTCTCTCTTTCAAGTATTATTTTGAATCCATTACACTTTATAGACTTTCCACAACATATACCTAAAGAAGGTTGAAGAACACAAATATGTGATAAAAATAACAAAAATGTAAACTTTTATCTGAATAATTCATGGAAGTTGCTAACATTGTTATATGGAATATTCAAGAATAATTTAACTGGTTGCAAATAAGATTGTTGTCTGAAAAACTTGCATAATGTTTTTTTTTAAATTTCATCATATTTTGGCCATTATACTCTCAGACCTTCTTCAAGTGTGTCATTTCAGTAACATTCATGGAATTTTTAATAGCGCCAGATGTTGATAGATTAGGCTACAACTAGTTGTGCATACTAAGTGCTACTAAATTTTGAAATTATTTTCTTCTTGTCAATGGTCTAAGTTTGCTCAGTTTATTTTAAAAATAGACCCCAAATTTACAAGCATTAAAATTAAAAATTTAGCAGTTCAAAGTTTTCAAATGTATTCCAATCTGGCAACCATAAAATGGACCCCTTTATGTTGTCCAAGTGAGTATATCGTTTTTATCTTTTTCTTTTTGGTCATATCTGGAATCTGTTCTTGATATTTCTGGCTGACTTTGTAATTGTCATCTTTTTTTTTTTGTGCTGCTTTTTTTTTTTTAACTTTCTTCAATTAGCTGATGTCTTCTTGCACTGTTGGAACCCAGAGACTGAACTTTGAACTTCTAGTAAACAAAAGTAATACATTTATTTAATCAACCATAGATAATAATTGAGTAAAATTTACACTGATCCTAAAATTTAATGTGAGACAATGCCGAATAACACTGCTTGGGAAACACATTAGTGGGGTTAAGAGTAATTAAGAAGCTGGAGTTGGAATTCAAATGCTTTGGAAGATTAAAACCTTTCCTGAATTTTGTCCAAGTATTAATTTCTTCATCAAGTCACTGATGCACATAAAGAGAAAACAGAGAGAGAGAGAGAGAGATTGAGATTAAGGGTAAGGCTACTCTTAGGTACTTAATATGGTGAAGGGTGAATTTTTTTTGAATATATAGAAAATGAGAGGTTCTTAATAAAAGAGGAATTGGAAAATCATTTAAAGGGATAAAAATTGTGAAATTAATAAAGGGTGTGATCTTAATCTCAGGGGATGGGGGCAGTTGGAAAATTTACTAAAAACAAAAAAACACTGCTCTCTCTTTATATTATGCACTTAAAAGTAGACAATTGATTGGTCCTGATCTAGCATTATGGCTTCAGTCAGTTTCCCACTGCTGTAATATAGATTTCCTGTGCTTTTTCTATAAATACTTCCATGGCAATTGTACTGATGAACTTTCCTCTATGGTACCTAGATTTTATCAATTTAAGTGCAGTACTTGATTGGCAGCAAGGTCTCAGTTATAGTTCACTGTAAGTCTGTCTGGGTTGATTTATTCTTTGCAGCTTCTCGAAATTTTGCAGGCCAGAAATTTTTAGATTGTAAAATTTTTTTGGAGATAATAATGATTTACTGAGACATAACCTACTAATTAATCCATACCTGGGGAGAAGAGATGAGTTCATACCTTTCTCAAGGGTACTTACACATAAGAGATTATAATGAACCCAATTGGAATGAAACTTGACTCTCTCTGATCTCTAATTCTGAGCCATTATCCATGACACTACCTGTGCATCAAGCTTACATCACGTGGTATTCCCAAGCAGTCACATATCTAGGTACTGACCAGGCTCAATGTTGCTTACCTTTGGTGATCATATAAGAACTGGTGTTTCAATGGGATATGGCCATAAGCAAGTCAGCCTGGTAGACAATAGGATGTTTAACCATCATTACAAAAATATATTTATTTATCCTGGCAAGTTTTTATCTATTTATCTTTGAAGTACATGTTTAAAAAAAAAAAATCCTTTGAAAACACCAGAAGACAAATAGAAGAGACAAAGAGAGGCATAGAAAAGCCAGAGCTTTCTATGCTCTGAACCCTCATACCCTACCATGCAGCGGCTGTGGACATCTCTTCAGATCCAACATAGGACTCATTGCACAAAGAAGGAAATGTCAATGAGCACCCCAATATGCGGCAACAAGTTCCACCAATGACAACATATTTAATGTAGTTTAACAAACGACATAGGAAAACTATCATAATATGATATTTAGATATTGGTAATATATTGGGAGCATAATGATGATTTGGGATCATAATATTTTGTAAAGTTATAATCATATTTTTGTTATTTCTGCCTACAGCAAATTGTGCACTAACACAAGATAGTTTTTTCCAAAGAATGTGTCTTTGATTGGCTATATTTATTTTTCTCTTGTCACAAGTAACACACCAATGAAAGGCTACTAGAGTGATTCCCTGATTGCTGCTGTCACATCAGTTCAGGGCTGCTGATCATATAATGTGTCCAGAGGGGGATCCATTTAGTTTAGAAAGCTTTGGTTTGACATTTTCAAGTTAGTTTCACCAGCCTACACTTCTATGATGACTTAGGACAACTTGTAAAAGGATGTCATACAGAAACACCAAAGTTGGAAATATTTATATATAAGAATTTAAAAAAAATGTTTTTATCCCCCATAAGGTGGGTTTATTAATGTCAGACACCAACCTGGAATTTACAACCTTATATTATAGATTTTATATAATATTTTCCTTCTCCTAGATCGACTGCCTTCACTATAGCTAAAGAGCTCCATTTACCCAGTACCAGATTTACATATATGCTAGTATGTGCTCCAGAACAGGGGCCTCAAGACTAGAGGGACCCCCAAGTTTTGGGCTCCTGATAAAACTAAAAAAATGAATAAAGATATAAGAAGAGAAGAGATTTGTTTATTTTAAGATTTAATTGGACTTCTTTGAATTAATTTGAATTTAGAGTATTTGGTCCCCTCTAGTTGGAGTGGGTCTTTTAAATTTGATGGCGCCCCATGAAAGCTGGCAAATATGCGTAATGAAGGGGTCCCCAAATTTTATTAAAACCAGGTCTTCTTAAAGCCTAAATCTAACCCTGCATTTACTCCATGTAATTGTAAGATGAATTTTATAAATAGAAAGTGGTTTCATATCAAGGGGTGGTAACCAAAGCCAGCATTTATGCAAGTATATATAATACACATTTTTTATATATATAATACTCCTTGCTATCTGTGATTCCATTTACTTATATTTAACTGTAGAATAAACAATTTATAAGGTATTATACTTAATAATGGTTCCAAAATACTGGCAACTTGTATATACCTAAGAGAAGCCATAACATGCTTACTTTAAGTGAAAAGGTGAAAGTTTTTGAATAAATAAAAAATCATATACTGAGATTGCTAAGATCTACAGTAAGAATGAATTTTCTATCACAAACCTTTTATACTAGTTTAGTTATAAATTTTTTAATTATTAGTTATTATTGTTATAAATTAAATTTTATCATAGGAAAAGGATACAAGAAGATGCTGAAAGGTTCTCTGCTTGACTAAAAAGGAATTGAGAAAAATATTCTCATGTTTGCTTATCTGGTCAGATTTTGGGAAATGAGTCAGGCCCCAAACTTTTCAGTATGCATGCTTGCTTAGTATATATGTGTGTGTGTGTGTGTGTGTGTGTGTAGAATTTGGTATTATCTAGGTTCAGGCATCTGTTGAAAAACTTGGAACATATTCCCCATAGATAAAAACTACTGTATCTATTCCACAAACATGCTGCACACATACATACACACACATATGCATATATATATATATGAATAGATAGGAGTGTGTGTGTGTGTGTATATATATATATATATATATATATATATATATATATATATATATATACACATACAGGGTGTAACAAAAATACTTTTACAAACTTTAGGGGCAGGTTCCTCGCACCAAAACAAGGACAAATGTCCATATAAACATATGCATGCAAATCCTTCATTTTTGAGTTATTAAGTTTACAGTTTACAGTAGATGGTATTAAATGTACAATCCAAGATACAATGTCAAAATACTTTTAAGAACTTTTTGCAAATGATACGGATACAGGGGCTGTTCTTAAAGTACCATCCATGCAGTACTATGAGATGTACAACATACTAGGTTTCCTTGATGTGTGCTGATACCTGGATCATCTCCGAAAGCCTGTAGAATGTGTTCTTCCTCATCAGGTTCATGTGTGGATCTCAGTTTTCCTTGATCCATAGTTTGTGATGCCATGGTTCCTGTCTCAGCACTGCAATGATAAGCAGCAACAAAGGTTGGCTGACTTGACTGCTTTTGGTCTGGAAACACAATCTGATACAACCATGCAGCCTTGTATCCATTATCATTTGTGCAGTCATATGTAAAAATCATATCTGCCTGCTCACAATATGAACATCCTGTCATTGTTAAATGGATTACTTCTCAGTTAACTCACTACTACACATGTTAAATGTTGAAGAGAGATAAGCCATAAATGTATATGAATTTCAAATGTAACCTAGTCTACATGAAAACACAGCACCATCTATATCAAACTTTCTTTGAAATTAATAAGTCAAAAATGAAGGATTTGTGGATATATGTTTATATGGACTTTTGTCCTTGTTTTGATGTGAGTAACTGTTATGGAGTGTTTTCACAGTGGAGGCTTGTATCGGTACTAAGTCGATCCTAAAATAGGTTTGACGTACAAAACGTTAGGAACTTCATATAATAGGTATGATGCAGAGAAATCTAGTTGTGGTCACTGATAGTTTAGTATTCGACTAACTGTTGTCCAAGATCGACTGACTGACCAACTCACTGAGCGACTTTACTCATTACTCTTACTACTCCTACGTATTATAGGTGGGAGAGTCTATCAACTATAGAATAGGTGTGTTCCACTATAACAGTAACCCACTCCCTAAGTTTGTAAAAGTATTTTTAATACACCCTGTATATATATATATATATATATATATATATATATGTATGTATGTATGTATGTGTGTGTTGGGTTACAAATGGCGATTCTCTCCCTTTTGTTGAGATAGTCATGAGGGCCATGTGACAGCTGCTAAATGATGTCATAGAGTGATGAAGGGCAGTTGCAATGTAGAGCCGTAGAGACAAAGGACGTCTTTTACCCATCGCACTAGATCTTATAGGAAAAACCATATTTCTGGATGCTACATGGTTGGATAGGGATACTCCAATCTTATATCTCCAGTACCACCAGATTTACCAAAGCAAACAGTGACCAAGTCTGGGCACTATATTAAATGGCCTAAGCATTTATCTTACCTAGTTTTCTTGGGTTTTTTTCATATAATCTTTTGCATGATGTTAACACAAAGGACATTTTTGCACTATTGACTGGACATGGTGAAAAAATTGAGGCCCTTTTAGTATACATATTTTTTTTATACTGTAGTTTGTATAAAGTATTTTCCCACATTTCTATTATATCAACAACAAGCAAAATAAAAGTAACTACTTGTGGCAGGTTCTACAACCTGTTTAGGGAGATGGTACTTGTTGGGTTACAAATGGTGATTCACTCCTGTTTGTTGAGATAGTCATGAGGTTCACATGATGGCTGGAAAGTGATGTCAGAAGATAGGGTGATGAAGGGCAGTTGCAATGTCGAGCCCAGAGATGAAGCCCACATTGGTAGGTCTTATGGAAAAAACCACATGGTCTAACCAAGTTTGTAGAGAAACCTCTGTAACTCCAGTTTTCCCTTCAGGAAATATAACAAGAAAGGTTCCCCTTTTTTAACACAACTTTTGTTGTTGTAAATGTTATAATTTCTCTGAGTAGGACATGTGTATATGTGTATATATCTAATTTTGTGTATGATGTAGCATTATAAACCTCACTGAACTAAGCATGTTTGTTATTCTTTTTCCATTCAGCTATTCCGTTATGTCTGTGAAATATCAGTATTGTTATATTGCCTGATTATTGTGCTGCCATATCCAATATTGACACATATGAAACTTTTAGTTGTGTGAAGGTGGTATATGTGTATTTTTAATATTTATGTATTACTCTATTCATTATTTTCCTTGTTCATTGGAGCTCTATACTGTATCAGTAACCTTGCCATATTTATTTGATATATATATATAGTTCACTTAGGACACATTTTAGCACACATGAAAACCTACCAAACTCCATTCTCAATATACTTATAGAAAATACAAATATAATAGCCTCATCCACATCTAAATAAAAAAGGCTAAAAATAATGGAAGTGTTAATAATAAAAAAGGAAAAGCCAACATTCACTTACATCAATTATGAACACTGCCACAATGTGCTGACAAAGTTTAGAAAATAATAAAAAAAAAAAACATTTCCATCACTCCAGATACATATAGAAAAATCTACACATTCAGTTAGAAATGAAAATTAAAAAACATCCTTGAATCATAAAATATAAAATCCAATGAAACAAAGACATTATTTAATTAGAAACACTTTTAACTGATTTTAGGAATAAAACATATTCTGGGCACTATTGTCTTAAGAAGAATTTTTTTTCAATGAATAATGAATTTTTGCATGAATTGTTTTCATTTTAAAAATTTTTTAATTATAATAAATTTTTAAATCTTTTAAAATTTTGTATTAAGTTGTACCAGTTAGGTGATATGGTTATTAAGTAAAATCTATATTTCCTAATCATAAATTGAAAAGCTTACTACAATTCAGCAAACATCAGTCTTTTATAAATAATTTAGAATTTTTTTTGTGTATAAATGTGCTAATTTTAGTAAATATGAATATCCACACACAAAATTATCAGAGCAGTAACTATAGTAA